AATGATATCAGATTACAGATAGCCTTAAAATAACCAGGACTTTTCTGACATTTCCGCAATTTTCATACATTCATTTCTTTTCTAAATATAATCTTTTTTTTCTTCCTCTCTCACAGTACCACACCTCTCATACACTACCGCACCTCACACTACCGCACCTCACACAGCACCTCACACTACCGCACCTCACACTACCGCACCTCACACACATTACCGCACCTCACACTACCGCACCTCACACACACACACACACACACACACTACGAGTAAACAGATTAATACAGTAGCGAGTTTGAAATGGACAATATTACTTGGAGTCTGGTTGACGTTATGTGTACCCTGAAGTATAATTGGCCTCTGTTGAAGGACTTTGTGTGTGTATATGTATGTGTATGTGTATGTGTGTGTGTATGTATTCGTGTTTGTTCGTATGTTTGTGTTTGTGTAAGGAAAACTCTACAAGGGGCTATATATATGTTTGTTTTTAAATCTGTTTGTGTGTGTTTGTGTGTGAGTTTGTGGTGAAGGGGTAGTGAGAGGTCCACACAGCAGAGAAGGTTTGTTTTCACGAGCCAAATGAGCGTGGTGGAGAACGATAAAGACCGTAACTACATTAGGAAAACACAGGTTATTCCCTCCATTATAATCTGAGAGTGTTATGATAAGACGCAAGAAAATTAAACAGAAACAGAGAGAGAGAATAGAGAGTAAGAAAATAGAATGATAGAGAGAGAAGAGAAAGAGAGAGAGACAGACAAAGTTTAACCACATTATCACATTATGAAAAGCCATCTTCTGGAAACTTCCCTTAATGAAACCTAAATTTTTAAGGGAATATCCATTTTCTTTCTAAAAGTTTATTTAAGTAGGGTGAACTATGACAAACTCTGTCTTGATATTCTGTGAGAAGTAGTGAAGTTGTGAAGTAGAAGTTAATGAGGTTTTTTTTTTTTTTATATGATTCAACAAGATTTCGTTCTAAAGTTTGATATCATGGAAGTGAGTAATTGTATGCAGACCTTGGTGTCCCAGGTGAGAGGTGGTGGTGTCAGATCTCCTACCAAAACACACGTCACGTATCTTAAATAAAGTTACTATGGTTTTTTTTTTATACACAATTTCAGACATAAACATAAAGTATATATATATATCTATCTAAAGCCATTGAAATTGATATTGAAAAAAAAAACATGTTAATTATTTCAAAATTTCCCGGCACTTTCCGACACCCCCTCCCCACACCCCCCCTCCCCCTCCCCCACACTCTTTCCCCACTACCCCCCGGAAAGCATTAGGTGACATACAGGTAATTAAAGAAGGAAAAATGGACAGAGTTTGGAGGACTTATGAAACAACTTAAGATGAACGCGCATCATTATACTCCCGGAATGGAAACAGATTAAACAGAGATATGATGAAACTGTCCATTAATTAACTAGCAATTAATGGACGAATTATGAAGAGATTGATCACGTGGTATCATTCAACCAACAGACTTTAACGACCCTGCGACCTGGACGACCCTGCCACCTGGACGACCCTGCCACCTGGACGACCCTGCCACCTGGACGACCCTGCCATTTAAACGACACACCATCTGAACGACTTGGCATATCGGTTAAAGATTTTTGTATTTCGTAAAAGTTTGATCCCAAAAAGTATATAAAATTCCTTACCAGATCGATAAACTCCGAATGGGTAACTTAGTCGCTATAAACGCATCTATTGTCGACTTTTATCGAATGTCCCAATTATGAAATCCGTCCCAATTGCTGCAATGTGAAAAGCGTACTGTGAAATATTCAAATGGAAAGTATGTATAGTTTGAGACTCTGGATTGCATATAACGAAGGGATGATATAACGAAGAGATGATATAACGAAGGGATGATATAACGAAGGAGTGTTTGACTTCATCTGTTTGGCATAGCAAGAGAAGTAGTTTGGTGATGCAACTATTACTACACACACACACACACACACACACACACACACACACACATAGACCCACACACACCCACACACACACACACACACACACACACACACACACACCCACACCCACACCCACACAGACCCACACACACCCACACAGACCCACACCCACACACCCACACACCCACCAAGGCGACTCTCTCCAGCTGCTCGGGACACTAAGATGTGGAAATGTAATTATAGATCCTTAAGAAGTAAAGTGTGTGACTTTTACTCGCTAAAACACGATCAAATGAACTTCCGAAGTCTCAAGTTTAATTACCACACCCTGCCCCCCCCCACCCCCCCCACCCCCCCCACACTTACTAGACGCTATCGATCTTTAAGTAATGATTTTTTCCCACTCTGATAAATTTTTTGAATCTATTAAACCCTAGACAGGTGTACAGGTGTGAAATCGTACCTGACGGACACCTGAATATTGTACACCTGTCACCTGAACTCAAGTCTTTAATTAATAATATGACGCAGTGGAGATCGACACAACTCTCACCTGTCTAGTATATCACACCTGGTATAGTATTAATTCAAGAAATAAAAACATACTACTGCATCATTAACTCTATCACCTGTAGTTAAAAAAAATCGTAATTGTTTCGGTAATATAAAGTTCCTTGTGTGGGACTTTACGAGTAGTGAGTTATTGACAGTGTTTATTACCGTATAGAATCTAACTAACATAACATTAATTACACACATCACGCAGGTATAGTACAGTACCCCCTCTCATGAATAAAGGGCATTACATTACTCCCTCCCTTCTCCCCTTACCCCTCCCCTCTTCCCCTCTCCCCCTTAGTGGTAACGTCAGATAGCTCTCCGTGCCAAGACTCAACTCTCAAACACAGGACAATTAAGTTTCCATTATATATGAACAAGTGGACTAACTCACTACCCTAAGTGACCACAACTCTCCCTCACAAGATTCCACCAGAGAGCACCTGTTTGTCTTGTCATACCCCTTTCACTCTCCTCACACTTTCGTATCCCCCTCCTCCTCCTCACATTCCCCACTTACCCACCCACCTACCCACCCCCACACCCCCTACGTAACACCACAACATTCAACATTACTCCCCTATGTAAATGACCCCTGTGATAAAGCCACCAAACATATACTTTAAAACTCAACATTACCCAACAACATCCTTCACCACAACAACGACCTACTCAGAATTACATGACAGCATTATCTACCATCACTACCAGAGTTCGGAAAGTTACTCACTCACGTATTTTATAATTTAAACTGCACCACTACATAAATATCCCAGAATTATTGGCACCTCCGGACACTCACTCACTCACTCACTCACTCACTCAACCTTTACACACTACATAAATATTCATAAATGTCAGACTTACACGCAAACCTCAACGCACTTAAATCATTCCACTACCACAGAATGAATAAATAATATCAATTAATTACAATATGGTACTAGTTTATACGTTCATTACAATACCCTACGATAGCTGGGTTCCTAAGTAGCTATCTGGAAGAACCCTAAACTACAATACTCCTTAGAACAATTTACGATACGGTATTTCCTCCCATAAAAAAATATATATATATCAGGTATTTATATTCAGAAATAAGAATTCTCAGCATGCCAGACGACACCTCGACATGATGGCTACACAGTTCAAAGCCTCGTATGTAATATAGCCACTCATCCTTTTTACACCACTGTCGTCCACCTTAGAGCACAAAACACACCATCATAACACCACAACACCAGTTCCCCCACATAACACCATCCCCACACCTACACACTACACTCAGCAGTGCCCCTCATCTACATTTCCACCAGCCCCCCACACACCCACCTACACCCATCTACACCTCCCAACACTAATTTCTCAAACTACATACAGTATCTCACGCCCTTGTAGTGTACTGAAAACACAGGTTAGGTTAGGTTAGGTCAAGGTCAGCTTTAGGTGGGGTTAGGTCAATTCATTTTAGGCTGGGTTAGGTTAGGGTCGGTTTGGTTTGGTTAGGTTAGGTTAGGTTTGGTGTTTACAAAGGAAATAATTCATATTCTTCCAACGTTTCGTATCGCCAGCTAAGAGCCATCTCGTGTTGCTTCACCTGGCTAAAAAATATCACCTGTATAATGGTTTCATTTCCGATACAGGATTATATCACAGGATTCTAGGGAAATTGTCGATTATACCACAGGATTCTAGGGTAATTATAGGTGATAACATGCGAGTCTAGGGAAATTGTAGTTGCTATCACAGGATTATAGGGAAATTTTCGATTATACCACAGGATTATAGGGAAATTTTCGATTATACCACAGGATTCTAGGGGAATTATAGAAAATATCACAGTCATCTAGGGAAATTATACCCAACAATATATATTATACATTTCTACAAAGTTCTCCACCAGTTATGAATATATTACCACGATGTAAAAAATGAATAAAACTTCTTGACAACATTATTCATAGGACATAATACTGACTTTCGCCTCTAATTCACGACTAACGTTCACAGCTATGTAAAAAGTGTAGCATTATCCTCCCCCTTCCTGATTTCCCCCCTTTCTCCTTCCCCTTTTCCCCTTCCCCCCTCCCCTTTCCCCCATTACGACCAATATGGCGTGAATAACAACATCGTGAATAATATAGTTTTTGGTCAGGTTGCCTCTCATATTCCATGTACCTGTGTCAGTCATGTTATATTGTTATTACATTGGGGATAAAAATGATGCAATGGGTATGTATGAATGTATGTAATGTATGTATGTATGTAATGTATGTATGTATGTAATGTATGTAATGTATGTATGTATGTATGTATGTATGTATGATAACATTTTCATTGTCGTGGGTTTAATTTTTCTTTTTCAACTTTTTACAATGTCTCAGAATAAGGCTTGAAGACTTGTTTGTCTCTCTCTCTCTCTCTCTCTCTCTCTCTCTCTCTCTCTCTCTCTCTCTCTCTCTCTCTCTCTGTTTGTCTCAGTCTCTCTCTCTCTCTCTCCTCCTGCAGGGTAAGCCCATCCTACACTGGCCTGAAGAAGGTATCGTCGTCAGCAGCAACAGTCTGGCCCTGAGAGGCGTCACCCGTCACCAGGCTGGCCCTTACGTCTGCTCGGCCTCCAACGTCGAGGGTGACGCTCATAGTCCTTCACTCAACCTCACTGTCAACTGTGAGTACTCTGTCTCAACCTTTGGACACCTATTCTGTCTATATTATCGTTCTGTTCATATTATCATTCTGTCCATACGATTGTGTCCATATTATCAATCATATTATCATTCTGGCCATATTACTATTCTGTCCGTATCACCATTCTGTCTACATTACCATTCTGTCCACACCTGTCAGTCCAATAGAATCTTATCAGTCGAGAAAGACAAAAGTTCTCACCTGGGATTCAATCAAACACAAAACGTATTACATTAAGAAAGGGATATATTTTAACTCATAATAACATAACGTGTTTATATCAATTGTACAGGAGATTGATCTTACACAGGTAATTACAGGTAGGTAGGTTAATATTTATGTCCCGTTGTCAGTCCAGGTGAGAGGGACATTCGTTCACACAACCCTTTCAAAATCAGAGAAAATAGATATTGATTGGTCAGAGAAAGTAGAGTGAAGGACACAGGTGACATGTGTTCCGTGCCACGAGAACATACTGTAGGTGGATGTCATACACCTCAGTTAGTTGAATTACCTGGGTGACGAAGGTGAATGTTACCCAATTTAACCCCCCATCGTGTTGCAATATTGAGGGTCGTCCACCTGACCATAGTACTAAAACCCAAGATACTCAGAGTTATTTAGTCCTGTGGTGATCAATACCTCGAGGGTAAGCTTTCTATTATGGAGATCCAGACTACCTGCCCTGCACACTGTAAGCTGCCCTCACGCTTCTGCTGTCAACACTGTGGTCGGTTATAGCAGTAGTATAAGGAGTCAGTGAAAAATGTTACCAATATGAGATTCAGGAGAAATACATAGCTTCTGTTTGCCTCTCTGTGTGAGAAGTCTCGTCCTAAATTGAATTAGTAGACTGATTAACCTTTTTTTAAAACTCTGATTAATCAACTCAATGTCGGTATTTCCTGACTTGATTGGTGGTTATTTTTACTCGTGTGGTGAATTATCTCCTCCTGTTGGATCGGTACAGTTAGTGAGGAGTTTTTATTCTCCAGAGATAACACACGGCTTAGCGCCCCATGTTGTAGCCCAGCTGTTACTACCAGGACACTCGGAACACCATCACCCTTCTGGACAAGTACCAAGACTCACACACTCAGCTCGTCGACAACCTTAACCCGATCCCCCACAGCCTCTCATTGTAGTGTCCTGTTTTAAGCCTTGGCCAGATGCCTTACACAGTTTAAGTTGATCACCAAAAAAAAAACACTGAGCTGTCTTGTACAACGATACACCGGGTGATACCAAGAAGCAAATAACCTTCCCCAGAGATAATTGACCTAATTTGTGAGGCTATGAGTGTTGGTGTGAACCGAGAGAACGACATTGCTGATTTCTTCCCTCCTGAGTAAGACTTTTTTTTTTTTGTAAGTTTTGATATTTGTTGTACTGTCTCTCTTGTGCGTTGGGTCGAGTAGTGGATGATGGTGATCAGTGGAGGGAGTATTTGGAGGTGATTTATATTTACCAAGACTACAAAATGATTCTCAGGGAGTGTGTGTGTGTGCGGGTGGGTGTGTACGTGTATGTGTGTGCGTGTGGGTGTGAACGTGTGGGTGTGTACGTGTGTAAATGTGTGTGGGTGTTGACATAGTGGCACATATTCTTCCACACAACCATATAAATGTGTAACTATGAATCCAATTTCTGCTTCAGTATTTTCTCCTGGAGGCGCGCGGGATCTTTGGTGGGCGTGAGTCACAGGAGAGTTAATGATGTGTTACAAATGTTAGTTGATGACCAGTCTGGCTGACCACACCCTGCGCCCTGGTGTGTCTTGCATGGTTCTCTCCTCTCCTCTCCTCTCCTCTCCTCTCCTCTCTTCTCTTCTCTTCTCCTCTCCTCTCCTCTCTTCTCCTCTCCTCTCCTCTCTTCTCCTCTCCTCTCTTCTCCTCTCCTCTCCTCTCTCGTACAGTTGTCGCAGTATAGTGTTGAGCTCTTGTGGTGGTTCCTGTGTCTGTCTGTTCGTTAAACATAGACTCAAGGCAACCTTCTCACCCAGCCGAAAAACGTAAACAAAGAAAAGAAAAATCTGATTCCATGATTGTCTCAGGGTCAGGGAGGCTTCAGATCAGGGAGGCTTCAGGTCAGGGAGGCTTCAGGTCAGAGGCTTCAGGTCAGGGAGGCTTCAGGGTCAGGGAGGTTTCAGGTCAATGAGGCTTCAGGTTCAGGGGGTCAAAACATCTTGTTGACTCACACTGCTCGAACCACTTCCAGCTCTATAATTAAAAAGGATTTATACACCTACTTGGCACTGCCAGTTAATTTAGAATGCCACTTAAAGAAGGCGAACCGGGTCACTAGTTTGTTATTCTGAGTCATAAAACCGAGATATCATGTTTCATTGATTCAGTACGAGTTATTAGAAGCAGTTTAGAGAAGCTCCTTTGATGATAATAACAATAATAATAATAATAATAATAATAATAATAAAAATAAAAATAATAATAATAATAATAATAATAACGATAACGATAACGATAATGATAATGATAATAATAATAATCATAATAATAATAATAATAATAAAGTAGTAGTAATGCCTCAAACAGACAGTGTCTATGTCTCTATGGAGAAAAGGTGGATTCGTGTTGTTGATTTTATGAACTATATAATCACGTGTTCGGGAGCTCTTAAGTACAAGATCTTATTTCTCACTACAGAATGAGATTGAGAGATATTCCTCTAAATATCATAGAGAAATAACTGAGAAATAATGGATTTTATTTGTTGTTTATGAATATTTAACTATGATTTAATACCCAATATGATAAATATAATGCTAAGTTATTGCTCTGTATATATCTAGATTTTAATTTAAGGATTATAGTATTTTCTAAGAATTTCAGTGAGTTAACTAAACGACGCTAGGTTCAACCCTCCTAAGAATATCCCGTTGTAAAATTCTGTCTCTTGATGCTAATGTTGAAATAAAAGCGGTTTTCTTAGTAACAATTTGCCAGGGAGAAATCTTTATATATAACTCAGTGAAAGAAATTAGTTTACGAAGCTTCTCTGGGAATAAAGTTGAGCATGACAAATATTTTCAAGATCTATGAAGTAAGATTAGTTCAATATGTTTAGTGGACTTTTTTTATCGTACAGTTAAAGAAAAAAAAGTCCTGGTAGTGTTAAGTCCTATTTATGAACCTTGAGATTCGTAAACTTTTGAATCCGAGACCTATAGGTGGTACACAGGTGATGTCTCGGATTCACAGGTTCATGAATCTCAGGTTTCATGAATAGGAGAGAGGACTGAGAGGGCTTGATTTTTTTTTCCACTGGGTGTATATGGATCACCTGAAGACTCTCCTCTCCAGGTATAAACACAGGGATGGAGGTTCTTCAGGTGACATTAAAGTATTAGAAGATATATATTTTTTTATGGTTCAAAGCCCAGATAAGAAACTCCATTACCACGGTGGCAGAAATCGAAGAAAACTTACAAAACTTTTCCAGAATTGAATTTGTGCCAAGACAATTTTGTTGTCAGTGAAGGAGAAAGAGTTTACCTTTTAACATTTCAACTAATCCAATTAAAAAGATAATAACTTTCTTCTGAATTTAACCTTGAAATTAAAGACATTATTATCTCAATTTAGTGTAAGTAGAACAATGTAAATAACAATATAGGGTATAACAAAGAACCAACTATAGTCTTAATTATTACAGGTGTACAGGTATTTTTCTAACACCTCTACAGCACAAAGATTACAGGTAATAAACTTACTACACAGAACAGAGAGAATATTTTAAACTATTATATTATATTAAGAAGAATTGAACGATAGTCATAAACGATTCTGTAATTTTTTTTTAATGTTATGAAATTAAAACGAAAAATATCCATATTAACGTCTTGGTAAAACTGTGAGGCAAAATATCTGGCTGAGAACGGTGGGTGATTAGGAAGGTAAACTGCTTCAGGTGATCCATTAGTCACCTTTGAACTTGCTGGCTCTTGAAATAATTACCCTCATAGATTCATCTTACTTTTTTAATTACCTCCTGTTAGCCTCCTTGCCTGTTGGAGGGAGAGTTTTTTATTTTATTATTTTTTTTATATTATCTTTTGTCGTTTATTATTTAATTAGTAACATAAAAAAAAATAAAAAAAAAGTTAAAAATCAGTACTGAATCATTTGGTACCACAGATTCAAAAACACTGATTCATTAACCACCTACTTTAAAGTATACAACTCTCTCAATGGCATCCCTTTAAAGATCTAGACGCATCCCTCCATTTGAAGTTACTCTCCCGTCTTGGTCATTAAACCAATTCCTTCCTTTTGAGTCACTGGGATGAGGCGGTTCGTTGAGGTTGACTCGAGATAAATGAAACACATCATCCCGAAATATATTTTTTTCTTCTCATTATCAATTATTTTAACATCATCTGAATTATCGTACTGATTATCTGTAACGATCGTGTTATGGTTATTAAAGATGATTTGTTTGTATTAGGCTTTAAAACCAAGTATTATAGAGGTGGTTTATGTCTTCGTCTTTTAAACCAAACTGAACTTTATAGAACTATCAGAATATCTCTCCACACCTGTATAAAACTGGAGGTAAATCAACACGTTTAATGAGATCTCTAAATTAAAAACCAGCCAGGTAGACAAATATCAATCTAAAATTACAGGTACATGTAAAGGTAAATTAAAACAACCATAGGTATCAGAATCCTTAATCAACAAAGTACAGTTAGATACAGAAATCCAGGATAATCTGAGAAAAAAAGGAGTTAATTATGAAAACTCCCCAAACAAGACTGAAGAAAGAATCGACCAATCAAGGAAAGATATTGTGTAGTTCTGTGTGATACTGAACTCATTGTACAGACTCAAATAATATAAATAGGTGCATTAGTATGACACATGGGATTGCATTAGTGTAAATTTGGTAATAGAACATGTTAAATTTCTTCCCCTCCTCCTTATCCACACCTCAACCCACCCTACCCCACCCTACCCACAC